AAGTGGAAAAAAGTGAGTGTGCAGACATCCAGGAGACCAGGTCAGCAACAGCACACTGTATCAACAGATGTTCAGAACAATCTCTATCCCATGGAGACTGTTTCCATGCACACACAAACAGTAGAAAAATAGAGAAAACTAGGAAATCCGTTCTTTCATCTTCACAGTACCTATGTTTTCTGAATTGGTTGAATTACCTAGCTCTTTTAGTGACCCACTGACATTGTTCTGCAAAACTAGAACAGGGAATATAGTATGCTACAGGAAATAACACATCATAGTGTGTTATTGAGGGCTCTTTGTCCTGTCATTTTAAGGACAGAGAGTTGAATAGTCTTTGCCTAATAACAAATACCACTGGCACACATATGCCCAGTGCTGCCATCTTGAAAACACAAGTATATCCATTTGACCATCTCAGCAACCTTATGTAATAGCCCACAGTTCCCAGTTAACAGACAAGAACCATTTCATTAATTTTGTCACTTATTGAATTAAAGTCATACAAGTAGTAGAAAATAGTTGAGTCTAGACCAGAACCTTGTTTCTGTTACCAAGTGAGTTCATTACCTTGTCAGCTATACTTATACAAAAAGGTTTGCCTTATTGTTTTGGAAATATAAAGCTTCATAAACAAATGACATAAAGATAGGAGCAATCTAAATTACAGAGTCAAAAGCTAAGAAGAAGAATATCAACTGCAAGTTAATACTTATATTGAAATTTTATTTTATGTTTTGTGAATATGTTTCAGTAATAATGACTTGAGAAATTTACTTAGACTCATTGTGTTTTTTTTTAAAAAGTTAAACTATGACAAGCCAAGTCAGGAAATTAAAATTTAAGGCTGTCATTCTGTGGTTAGGAAAAAAAAGGGGAAAGTGAGTGGGTAAGAAGCATATAAACACATCTTTTACCCTTGAGTTTTAAATAGGAATAAGAGGAAATTATAACTTAAGAGAAAAATACATAAGTTGAGATGGTTTATAACTTAAGTAATGTTTGGGATCTATCAGTCAAAATGTCTACCTGAAGAAATGTTAATTAGCATAATGTATTTAATTCAACACAGAAAGCAAATTAAAAGTATACTGAGGAAAACAGGTAATTCTCCACCCTCCCCTTCTCTCCCCCCCCCCCCGCCATGCTCTCAGGAGAGCGCTCTGTGTATGGACTGCTTTGCTGTCTCTCAGGGTAATTTCTGAATGGTAGAGTCCAAGTAGCTGTGCATAATGAATCCATCTTTCCTGATCCAAGCAGCAACCTCTCTAGGCTGAGCATTCTCATTACTTCTTTGTAGTCATTTTAGGTACTCTTAAGCCCTATAGTCAAATCATTTAGTAAATGCTAAGATGTTCAATAATATTGCCTGTGAGAAATCTGCCTAATTGGGTCAGATTGAGTTACCAATGGACATACATGAAATAGCATTGTTTTAAGCAAGCAAAATTATCAAACTGTGTAGGAACACAGACCCATATCCTTGTTTTGCTTTCTGCAGTTTCAGTTACCCAAGGCCAATCATGGTCTGAAAACATGAAATGGAAAATTCAGGAAATGAACCATTCAAAAGTTTTAAATATGATTCTAGGGTATGGTTAGTTATTATTAATTTATTACTGTGCTTAATTTAGAAATTAAACTTTCTCCCATATATATATATATATGAAAGAGCATATGCATAAGGATCCGTACCATCCACAACTCATTGATACAAAAGAAAGCACAAGTTAACATAAAGCTATTATTTAATTTTGAATTTCAAAGATAAGCAATATTCTTACTAAATAAAAAATGTGTTAATACAGTTCTATACTAATTTCTTTCTTAATTTAGTAGCATACCTAATATGTGGTATCCTAGCACTGGGTGGTTCATGCTAGAAATCCTAGCTACCCATGGGGTTGAGCATCCATGTTAGAGGCTAGACAGAGCAGAAAAGTCCATGAGACTCTTACTCAAGTTAACCTCCTAAAACCAGATGTGGACTTGTGGTTCAAATGACAGAGTACCAGCCTTGAATAAAAAAGCTAAATGACAGCGCCCAAGCTTTGAGTTTAAGCCCCAGTATATTCTCTCTCTTTCTTTCGTTCTCTCTCTCTCTCAACTTTTTCTTTTATTGTGCTAGCATAATGGTTTGAACTCAGGGCCTTCCATTCTCACTCAGCTTGTTTGTCAACTTTTATATACTACATATTTTATCTCTGAGTGAGTGGTTTTACCTACACACTGTTTGGTTAATTTAAAAGTTATTAGGAAACTGTGCACTTGTGGCTCATCCCTGTAATCCTAGCTACTCAGGAGGCTAAAATCTGAGGATCATGGTTCAAAGCCAGCTTTGGCAGTAAAGTCTCCATGAGACTCTTATCTCCAATTAACTACCCAAAAACCTGAAGTGGAACTGTGGCTCAAAGTGGTAGAGCACTAGCCTTGAGCAAAAGAGCTCAGAGACAGTACCCAGGCCCTAAGTTCACGCTCCACAACTGACAAACAATCAAAAAACAGAAAAAAGAAAAAAAAAGAAAAATTATTAGGATTCAAGTCTAGAAAAATAATCAAGTAATGATTCCCTCCCTAAATATATTTATGTTTCACCCTTTGAAATTCAGACTGTACTTCTTCTATACTATTATAACTATAGGTTGAATACTAGGCTAAAGTTACAAAGTATCCATAGAACTTAATTGAGCTTAATATGCTATTAGCATTATTCAAATTCTATGCTCTGGCTTGAAGGATGTCTGGCAGTCCCATCTTCTGGATAAAAAAAAAAATTCTATGCTCTAGGAACTGCAGGTTGAAAAATAAAATAAAATAAAATGGTTTTCCTTTCTGGATCAAGGATCAGTTATAAGTAAAATTGTGAAATGGTTGTCTCTTGCATTTACATCTTGCTAATCTGTTTTCTGTGCCTCTCTAAGGCCTGAGTAAAGATTATCCTTTCTCATCTCCTATGTCTTAGTGATGCTGAGATTCTTTTCCAGGTGGGTCTTAATTGAGCTTGACTGTCTCAGGGACTTCTGCTTGTCCACAACTACAGATGCTCCCTCTCCCACACTAGCCCACGGCCATCTTTTACCAAAGCAATTGGAAAGCTACCGGGAAATGATCTCATTTAATTAATAAGCCAATGTGCGTACATCTCTTCCTGATTTGTACTTAGTAATTTTTAAAAATGATACTGAAGCTGGGTGCCAGTGGTTTATACCTGTAATCCTAGCTACTCAGGAGGCTGAACTGAGGATCCCTGTTCTAAGATGACTCAAGCAGACAAATCTTGAGACCCTTATCTTCAATGAATCCGCAAAACAAAACAAAATAGAAGAAGAGGCTTGGCTTGCAGTGAAAAAGTCAAGTGAGGTTGTGAAGCTGAGTTTAAGCCCTAGTGTTGGCACACACACACACACACACACACACACACACACACACACACACACACAATCTAAAAATATAAATAATAGTATCACAAACACTAAAATGGGAATTTTTAAGATTCTCACAACTTGGCCTGAGAAAACATATCTCAATGGTGGGAAAGCTCTAGAAGGAGAATGAGTCAGCTCTCAAGTCCACCTGTTACAGAGCCCTTTAATTTATAGCGCCAAAAATGACTTCCTGCTACTGATCAGAATGTTTTTCTGAAACTTTCCTGTGAGTGGAACAGAGGGGCCTGCAGCCTGCTGGATGTTAGGATAGTTAATCTGGAGGTACAAAGCCACCTTGGTAATATACATTGGACTGGAGGTACAAAGCCACCTTGGTAATATACATTGGGCTCAGGAATTTGGGTTGGAATTTGTTGCATTTTATCAACACATTATATACTTCATAGTTATCTCTTTTGATATTAAAACCTGACCGAAAAATGGCCTACTAAAGATCAGCCATAACATTGACACCTACCTTCTTTATTCAGATACATTGAAAATGTTTTCTGTCTATTAATTTCCAATTTTACTTAAGATTTAACAGTTTCTGTGCTTTGATTGTTTAGTAATAGAACATAAAGAATACAAATCTGGCTGGGCGCTGGTTGTACCACCAGCTACTTAGGAGGCTGAGCTCTGGGGATCCTGGTTTGAAAATAGCTTGGGCATAAAAGTCTGTGAGACGCTTATCTCTAATAAACCAGCAAAAAGCTAGAAGTGGAGGTGTGTCTCAAGTGGTAGAGTGCCAGACTTGAGCAAAAAAGCCAACCAATAGCATGTGGCTCTGATTTCAAGCCTTAGTGCCTGCACAAAAATAAAAATAAATAAATAAATATCTAGAAAACAAATAAATATCTAGAAAAAAAAAGTGAACTGACTGGGAATGTGGCTCAGTGGTAGAACGCTTGCCTTGCATGCATGAGGCCCTGAGTTCGATTCCTCAGTACCACATAAGAAGGAGAAAAAAAAGCCAGAAGTGGTGCTGTGGCTCAAGTGGTAGAGTGTTAGCATTGAACTGAAGAGCTGAGGGACATTGCCCAGGCCCAGAGTTCAGGCCCCACTGGACCAAAAAAAAAAAAAAGGTGAACTATACAGACACATCTAACGAGGGATTAAAAGCAGAAGGAGAATGCTGAAGGCATAGCTCAAGTCATAGAACCACCTGCCTGGATTTAATTCCTAGTGCCACCAATACACAAAAGCAAGATGATGATGTAAGTGTTACATACTGTATTAGTCATTGTAAAAAAAAATGTGTCACTTCATCATGCTTGGAGGACCTGCTCTTATAAAACATTCCAGCATGTTTCACATAAGGAGCATCAAAAACTTGTAAGTTGTTTTTTAGATACAAAGAAATTGTTTAGCACTGGAGATGTAGCCCAGTGGCAGAGCACTTGCCTGGCATGCACCTATACTCTGGGTTGGATCTCCAGGAGCACACACACAAAAGAATTTTAAGGGACTACTTCTTTATGTCTGAAATAATAAAGACCACATATAGTCATGTATAATAGGTAGCAGTTTTTCAGTGGATCAAGCTTAAGTCACCAAGGTTAAAACAGTCATTACCTGCAAAGGACTCAACAGAGACCTGTTTTTAGGTACTGTGAATGCTTTGAGAACATTGTCTTCATCTTCTGATACTGGTGTCATTAAAACAGAGCTTGTAAGAATATTCTAAAGGGAAAGGAATCATTTAAAATTTAAATTAAGCTTGGATAAAATGAGAGTCAACCTCATTCTAACATTGTAGAGAGCAGAAATATTTTAAAGCTACAAATTAACAACAGCACAGTGGTGAAAATATAGCATTTAGAATCAGAGTTCTAGTCAGAGTTCTAGTCTGGTACCAGCCCTGCATAATCTTAAACAAATGGCCAATCTGCTCAGTGTCCCTGTTATTATAGTGGAAGAAAAAAATGTTATCAACTCTTCAGGGTTATTGTGAGGATTGCATGAATTAATCCATCTAAAGCCCTTAGATTAGTTCTTACCACTTAGTGCACACTGAATAAAACATTAGCAATTATTACTTGCTCTGATGCTTGAAAGATATAAAGGGAACTATTTCCAACTTCCCAATCATTAAGTGGTGGTGACCGAAGTAATGCCATACAGCTGGTCCTTGGCACCCATGGATTTGCCAACCAAAAATATTCAGAAAGAAAACTTGGCATCTGCCAAGGATGTACAGACTACTTTTCTCGCCATAATTCCCTAACCAACACAGTGTAACAGCCCTTTACCTTGTCTCAGGGGTTATAAGCATGTATATAAGTTATAAGTGTGTATGTTCTATGGAAATATCAAGACACTTCCTGTAAGGGACTTGAGCATCTTCAGAGTTTGGTACTTGAGGTGGGTCCTAAATGCCATGAATTCTTCTGTGATGGGGTGAGACAGCTGTACAAGGCTACGCCTCTACTCTATATCAAGGTTGGCTCCATGCTAGACACTTTGTAAAACCAATCACAGACAATCTAACTACAAGGAAATACTGCCTTTAGAAAACAAGTAAATTAAAAAAATGGGAAACTTGGCATTATATTTTCAAGGAAATATCCACAGAAATGGCAAGAACTTTGAAAACATTTTTTAAAATCAAAAAAAATCACCAATGGAATAGAATCTATTTCTAATACCTAAGCAAAACTCTCAACTTTATATCTCCATGAACAATCACTATTTAAAAATCATGCAGTAGAGAATAAATAGAAACCAGAGGCATTAAAGAGTTGTTGCTGCAACGATCTGAGCCTTGCCACCCATATGCAGGGTTTTGTGGGGCCCGGCTTCACAGAGCAGCTGGAGGCTCGTTTGCACACACTTACTGGGGCATCTTCCACAGGTGTCGCCTGGGTAAACAGCTGAGTGTGTAGACTGTCCCCTTCCCAGTGGTTTGAGCAGAAGAAATTGCCCACTTTATCAGTTGGCGATTCCACCTAAAAGTAGGAAGTACTTTGTCATTTCTAAGCTACATCTTCTATCAAACATTTCTTCTCAGGAGTACCTTCCTGTGTCTCAAACAGGCCACGTTACATGAAAATAAGTCCAAGAGGCATTGAACTCCACATGTTGGGAAGGTTCCTGACCAACAATTCAATTTTGGAGTTTCTTTTCTCAACCATGGACTTAAAGACACTATTATTTTTCAATGTAAATTCCAGTTTTCCATGGGATGAGAAAGTGAAGGAATACAATATTCACCATCAATGGAATTTGTGTTCCCAGGCTATGGTCACTCTTTTTGATATGTAAAAACATGAAAATTAAATATTTATCTCTTTATAACCTAGGATTTTTTAGAAGTTTGTTTGTTTGTTTTGTCCTTCATGGAGCTTGAACTCTGGGTCTGGGTGCTGTCCCTCAGCTCTTCAGCTCAACGCTAGTGCTCTACCACTTGAGCCACAGCACCACTCCTGGCTTTTTCTGCTTATGTGATGCTAAAGAATTGGACCCAGGTCCTCATGCAAGCAAGGCAAGCACTTTACCACTGAGCCACCTTCCCAGCCCAGAAGTATGATTTTTTAAAAATCCTGCTGCCCTCTTTTCTGTTTTCTGTCTAACCATGATGTCAATGTGGCTTCCCATCTGGAAACGGTGGTGACTACAGTGGAACAAGAGTTTCCGATTGAATCTTGCATAGATCTTAGACAAAAAGCTTTTACATTGTGTATCCTAGTGCTTTCACATAGTATGACAAGTTGCACAAAAGAACGAACAGGCTTTGGGGTTGTCCTTTCCAAGGATCTTGAACTTACCTCTTGTTTGATCTTCTTAAGTAAGGGTGGTCCATTCTCTGGAAATTCAGTAACAATTCCAGATTCGTCGGATTCCTGTTTGATCACATCCTGTAGATCTTCCACTAGATGAGAGGGTGTCTGAGGCTAAAGGCAAGAATGGATATTCTGTTATTAAAGGATAATTCTTTTTTTTGGGGGGGGGGTCTGGACGTGGGGCCTGAACTCTGGGCCTGGGCACTGTCCCTCAGCTCTTCAGCTCAAGGCTAGCACTCTACCACTTGAGCTACAGTGCCACTTCCGGCTTTTTTCTTTTTGCTTATGTGGTGCTGAGGAATCGAACCCACCTCAGGCATGCAAGGCAAGCGCTCTACCACTGAGCCACCTTCCCAGCCCCATAAAGGATAATTTTTGACTGTCCTAATAAACTGACTAAGCCCAATGACTTTTCTAGAACTTACTAGCATCTTCAAGGGACCATATTTAATTTCTTGAGCTGCGAGAGCATGTTTAAATGGTGTAGGAGTTCTTGGAGAGCTTTCTAGGATTGACCTTTTGATAGTTGGAGTTCTGAAACTTTAAAAAGAGAACAAACAATAGTTGAATAGGAAAGACAGGTATCCATTACATTGCTCTACTGATCAAACAATTTTTCCAAAAAGTATACTAAGGTCTGTTACTAGTATGAAATTGGATTGCTAATCAACCATATGTATACATTAAGGAAAAGATAACATGCATACCATATATTTACAAATATTTCAAAATATTATACCCCAAAGACTAAGAGCACTGAAATATTGTTTCATCTTTCCTATACGGATCTGAAGACACAAGTAATGTTCCTAGGTCTGTATAATGACGACATACATTGTGATATCTGATGCCATTTGCATCTGATTTTTTTCTACTCACTAAAACTGAGACCATACTAGAAAACCTGTGTTAACCTTACTTAGTATGAATGTACTCTTCTCAGGTCTCTTATAATTTACACCTTTATTTTCTCTGCTATTTCCTTGAATAGTTGTAGTCTTTATCAATCTTGGGTTTTAACCATATGGGGTGTCAACAGAGGTCCATTTTTCTACTTTTTTTTTTTTTGGATGTGGGCTTGAACTCTGGGCCTGGGCACTGTCCCTCAGCTCTTCAGCTCAAGGCGAGCGCTCTACCACTTAAGCTACAGCTCCACTTCCGGTTTTCTAGTGGTTTATTGGAGATAGGAGTCTCATGGTCTTTCCTGCCCAGGCTGGCTTTGAACTGTGATCCTCAGATCTCAGCCTTCTGAGTAGCTAGGATTACAGGGGTGAGCCACCAGCACCTGGCTTCTACTTGAATTTTTAAAAGAAAATAACTAAGATTGAAAATATTAATCCAGTAAAGAATTATACTTGATCTCATTTTGAAGGTTAGAATTGGAGAAGGAAGTTAAAAATCTTTTCTGTGAGAAAAAACAGCCTTTATTCAATGAACAAACCGGACAGAAACATGTAACTATGCTGTTTGTGTACAGGAAAATTTTGGAGTGGACTACAAATGATTATTTAGTTTATCCCCATCCATCTCCTACCTGTAGTTTCGTTGTAATGTACTCAAGACACATATTCAATGTGGGAATGTAGATTATACATACAGGTGAAGCAGTAAAATTGTAAGCATACAAGCAGGTCAGACATTTGAGGACTATATTTTCATTAGTACAGGTAAATAAGATAAAGACTTTTCTTCATGAATTAAGGACTTACATGGTATTTTCCTTGTGAGTTTTCACAGTCTGGTCTCTATGAAATGGTGTTGTAACAGTCAATTTGTGACCATTGAGAGGGGTGGAGGTTAAAGAAGGCATTTCCATGTCTAAGTTTTCATGGGTGCTGGGAGTGTTTAAGAACTAAACATGAGAAGAAAGAACAAAATTACTTAGATTGAACACTGGTTCTGTATTCAGCAAAAGTTAAAGTCACACCTAGACAACTAGCATGTTTTTTACTGACCCATTACACAAAATAATAAACATGTTCACGGTCATGTGAACATGATTGTGGAGCGGGAACTGTTTTACCTAAATTGAGCATGCAAAATTTGGAATTTCATGTTTAAGAAATAACATCTAGAGTCAATGCTGAAAAGTTGGTAAAAATCCTAAGAAAATAGTGTCAATGAATGATACTTGCCATTAATGAGAATGAGGCAGTTTTTTTATTAGCATTAAAAAGATTATGTATAGTACATAATACTTGATAATGATAATAAACAACTGTGGTACTGGAAAAAAGATTAAAGGTTTATTTTCTTTCACATTGTTCTCTCTTTAAGAATCTATAAACATGTTATATAAGATTTGCTTACTAATTTTATTTCCACATAATTATGTGAAAAAATATTGAATAATATTATATAGCTGTCCGAACAGAAAAAGTCCTGGGGGAAAATAGGTATTCCTAAAATGATTCCAAGGTAAAGTGAGCTCGGGAAACATAATGTATCATAATATTCTCCTAGAAATTCACAAGACATGTAAGCATCTTAATAACTCTGAGGTGGATGGCCATAGTGGTCCATGCCTATAATACCACCTACTCTGGAGGCTGAGGTAGGAGGAACCCAAGTCCAAGGCCAGCTCTAGGCAAAAAGCATGAGAAATAAACCAAAAAAGTAAAAGGACTGTAGTTGTGGTTCAAGTGATTCAAGTGTTTGCTTAGGAAATAACTGGAGTCCCTGAATTCAACATATACAAATGAAAACAAACTTTCAGGAAAGTCAGTCCTGGTGGTATGTACCTCTAGACCTATTTATTTAGGAGGCTGAAGCAGAAGGATTGCTTGAGCCTAGGAGTTCCAGGTCAGTGTAGACAACAGAGTGAGACTCCCATCTCAAATAAAGTACGAAATGAAACAAAAGACCAGGAAAACAAAACAATGGCAACAAATAAACTTGAAGGGCACTCCAATAAAGAAACAAGTTTTCACAAAATTTCATATCTGTATATTTAGAATTTTTGTGCAAGAATATCAAAGTTTTACAGAACAAATATTCTGTAGATCATAATTTGAAAAATGCAGACCAAAAAAACCCTTATTTTTAAAAACAAATTTGGCCATGAGGTAGTATGCTGGCCTAGCTTGCATAAGATCCTGGGTTTGATTCTTAGCACTTCCCCATCAAAACCAAAAAATCTTCAGTGAATATATTGTGAAAATATTTTGAAAGTGCCAAATTAGCAAATAATTTAAATTATCTTTAATAATTAAAGAGCACAAGTCTGACCAGTGTTATAAATACCATGGCAAAATTCAAAAGAACTCACATTGAACTCACATTTAGATCATTTTCCTTAAACATTTGTTTCTCATCCTCTCTCTAAACATTTCCACTTAAAGATGGATATGAATTTTTTTATAAATCTTCTCATTGCAACCCAAATGTTATATAATCATAGTTTCTTTGGGGTCAATGAATCACACCATAAAAAAAATGAACAGAAATGGAAGAAGTGTTAGAATTTTTTTTTTGTAGAAGGAGGAAGTCACATGGGAAAAGAGAGACAGAAATGTTAAACTCTAATGTGAAAATAAAAGTATATCTCATGCAACTACCTTCCAAATTACAAAAAAAAAAAAGTAAGAGAGAAGGTGTGACCGTCATCAGTCAGCATGCAGCCAGCCTCATCTTCAAGAAGCAGTAGGGCTTAGTTAGCCCCAACTAGACTCAGAAGCAAGGGATGAGATGAGCAAGGACAGCAGTAATTAGTCATTTGTTCCAAAGGATTAGTTTCTAGATTATTAAGGCTCAGGTGTCTGCTGAAAATTAGTAACAGCTGTGCCGAAATCAGGCTCTACCTGCGAGGGGGAGAAGGGCAGGCTTTTGACAGGGGAAGGCTTGGGAGTTGAGCTGCTACCATCAGCAAAGAGGAAGGAGCTAGATTCTCCAGCAGCTAAGGGGCTGCCCTGGCCCCATTTTTTGCGAAGGATGACCAGTGGAATTGTGCCGTGCCTTGCTGGAGGTAAGGACTTGGGTGAGCCAAAGGAACCCTCGCTCAACATGCGTCTGTTCACTCTTGGGCTAGGCCCTCCTGCAGGTCTAGTCCCAGGGCCCTCTCTTTGCTGAAGTTGGCGTGCTCTGCCTGTGTGATGTTGGCTAGGTGAAAAAGCTGCTTCTTCAAAGAACTCAAAACTGCTGAGATCACACCATGCTGAAGAATCCTGAAACAATGTGGGAGGCACAGAGCTTTGAGACAGTGTGTGCACAATGTATGCCATTGTCACCTGAAGCAGAACCCTGAGCCAGAGATGAGAAGTGCAAGAAAACACTGGGTCCCTTTGCTGCATTTCTCCTAGCCAGAGGCAAAAGTTATTCTGTTGCCCTGCATTGGCGGGGTCTATGCTGCCTCATGGCTGGATTTTGTGCCTATTCTGTGGGAAGCTGTGACACTCTCACTCATATGCAATCAAAAACACACATGCTATGGCAATATCCAGTCCCCATCTAATGAGTATTCAATGAATGCTTTTTAACCAATTGGAAATCAAGGAAACAAAGTGAGTGCTGAGCTCAAATTGATCTCACCAAGATTCATGTATCTCAATGAACCATCGGGCCCCGAATCAATGAGCACCATTTTGGCAAGTCCTACCCACCCACAAACTGATTATTGCTTCACATACACTGAAGGAATGCTTTAAGCCCCATAATTTTTAATAAGCTATACAAAGGCAAAGGCAAATTCTAGAGAAGTACCAAGAGGCAAAACTAAAACTCAGTTAAAGGTAACTCAAACATCATCCCATAACCTCAGTGAGTTGTTCTGCCTTACAAGTCGAAATCATTATTTTTAAAGATACATGCATTTAAAGGAAATGTGCAGAAAGCTACTTTTTGTCTGGGTAGCTAAGGAAATTGGATCTCAAAAAAATATATGAACTAAGACTAAAATCATACTTTTACTTTTATATGACTCTAGGCCAATTATATATGTGCGATAAAATCATGGCAATTATCTTTAAAGTGCGTTTTCTAATTCCTCTTCCAGAAACATGTACTTGCCTGGACAATTCTACTTACAGAATCTATAAATTGGAGTGTTTCTGCAAATTCTAAGAGGTTCTTAACATTATCCAGAATGGTGCCCTGGTGGACGATCATGCACCTTGCAGGTGAGGCACTTTCTTCAGGCAGGGAACCAGGATCCACTGGCAGAGATGGAGTGGAGTGGTGTTCTCCCAAACAGGAAACAGGTGCACTGTCTCCATGAGGTCTGCTGTGGTCGGCAATGGAGGTGCTCTGCCACCCGGGGTAGCTGCATGTGTGGTTCTGTGTCTGAGGAAGGGGAGGAGGGGTGTAGAAATAAAGAAAAGAGCGGGGAGAAGAAAGGAAGAAGGAACTTAGCAATGATATTGCACAAGGTATCAGATGCTGTTGGAGGAAAGATAAAACTAGTTGCATCATCCACAACTTAAGCCTATGAGACAGTTGTCAAGATGTTTCCTTCTTGTCAGGGTGAAGCCCCTCGCTTTTTAGTAGCGCACTAGTTTGTACCTATATAATTGCCCTAATTGCTGCCATTTTTGCTAAAGCTTCAACTCATGGGACTATGTCAAAGAGTATGAGATTCTCATATTGAATCTCTTAGAAAATCTACTTAAGTATGATTTGCAAAAGGCAATGACTGCTAGGGTTAGTACCTGTGCTATTTGCAAGCTTATCTATGGAAAGGTAATACTTTACTGATAAAATGCACCGCATTTTTAAAACTCTGACTTGAAAGTTAGCCAAGCCTTTAAACATGGCTAACTAGCTAAAGCTACATAGTAAAAGACACTAAAGTGTTGATCTATAAGGAAGTACACCTGAGAGAAAACACAGTTGTACACACTGTGCAGATTCCGTTGCCTCTACCCTTTTCTAAGGCTACAGATTGCACTGGAGCAGGGAAGGCCTGCCAAATCAACGTGGTTAGAAAAGCAGAAGAGCAAATTAACAGAAGTCTCCTTACAGCATGACCACACAACAGGAGAAATTGCAAAACGGTAACTAAAGTGAAAAAGTAGTGGAACTGGCATGTGCACATAATCATTTTATTTTTTAAGGAAAAGAAATGGACCCCCAAGGATACCTACTGTGTATCACTTCTTTTTCATGTACTGTGTTGGTTAACTACATATTTTACAAAGTACATGCTGTTTTCCCAGGTTGCTGCCCTATCACAAAAAAGATGTCAGAATTCAATAAAGGCCCAAACACAGGCGTGCCAGTGAAAGAATGCAGTTAAAGTTACTTCTGAGGAGACATATACATCTATATAAGCTTACCTATAGTTTATGTATTTTATATTTTATATAGTTCACATTTCACGTATTATAGATTTCTATATTTTATATGTGCATATCTATGCACACATGCATATATTCATATATATAGCATATATACTGAATATGCATCAAATCATGTTTGACATTTCACAATATGAAAATATACAGGGTAAGAAAATAACAGAAAAAGAAAAGAAAATCAGATAAATAGACACTGATGGATACAGAGCTTTGTAAAGCAATGCAAACTTTACATTCAGTTTATCTTTGTTAGTCTTCGAATTCATTAGTCTTTCATAGGAAAAAGAAGTATAGTCACAAAGGGGTACTGTATTTCTATTACAATAACAATCAGAATACTTCCCAGAGGCCCTAAATTCAAGCCCCAGTAACAGAAGTCCTTGTGATGAAGCCTACATTATATGGCAAAAAAAAAACCCACAAAAAATAATATTTGCTTACATTAAAATTTAGCAAAATTGGGGGGATTGCTTCCAACTGAATGTACATTCTGATAAACCACAGTATTTTTATTAGAAACAATGTCTTGTGCTTACATTCTGTGAGTGGATATATAGAGTTTGAGCCTAGTTTAATATTTAGAAGAGAAGAAAAAAATGATACTAAGAAGTCTAGGGACAGCCTGGCCCCTCCCACCCTAGCCCAGCACACAAGTGCCTTCCTTACTGGTAATGCCTGTTGTCCTTTCAGCTCATTCTCAGTAGACATTAGGAGCAACTCTAATTCCTTTATTCTCTTCTCTTTCTCAGGGTCTTCATCATTATAGTGTCTCTGGAATTACAAGTTAAAGGGGAAAAGACAGACGTGTGACTGGAAGCTGTACAATGATTGCACTGCAGCTTAGAATGTGAGCCACCAAACCCAGATCAGAGCCTTAATGCAAAACCAACACCCGAAATCCTCCTGAATCATAGGAGATCTGACCCAGAATGGATATTGATTGATGTGTTACTTCAACTTGTAACATGATGACAAGTGTCTCCAGAAATCAAGATGGGTAGGTTACTGGTCTGAATGCTCCCCTCCCCTCTTTATTTAAGTGGCTGGGTGAAAATATGTATTTAACTGTAAGAAAGAAAGGATTTCTTCAATGTAATGCCTTACCCAGCTAGTGAGTTCTTTTCCAGGATGATCTTACCTGAATGGCTGCAGCAGCTGGCTGAGGGACATTGACTATATTTACATGTAACGCTACAGGATATGGAACATGGCTGGAGACCTAGTTCAAAAAGCAAAACAAAGGCCCAGTCATTCCTGGATACTATGCTTCAGGGGATTGGCTTTTCTAAGGTTTTGTTCTGGCACTAAAGGAAATAGTACTTTACTGATAAAATTCACCAAACAAGTTTTAAAAACTCGAATGTGATATTCAGTCAAGAGCTAAAGCCACATAGTAAAAGAAACTAAAGAGTTCACTTTGTAAGGAGCATTTTTAGAGAAAAACACAATGGAAAATATAAGGTAAAATATATTTCATGAAATATATAAGAAGTCTTCATGGAAAACCAGTGGCACAGGCTGCTTGTAACTCAGAATATTCTTCGAATAAGAATTTTTAAAAAGCACAAAACCTCTGAGAATTCATTCACCTGAAGACCTTTCTGGAAAGTTTATAGTCACATCCATGGAACAGATAATGAAGAGCAAAAAGCGTTTATGAATATGTTTGCGTAACATTTTCATAGGATCTCTGTATTCTTATGTTATTTATTATTGATAATTCTGTTCATCTTTCCTGATATGTTTTCTTCATTATTTTTCTTTTCTACCCACTATAAATCCTCTCTCCACGGATATAAATATCTAGAAATAAGGAAAGAATGACACAAATCCAAAGGAAGATAAAAGGAAACTTCAGACAATCAATGTCATAAAGCTCTATTCTTGGCTCTGAGGACGAAGGCAAATATTTATGGAATGACTGAATTAAGATACTTTTCTAGCTTACTGTCAGAATTGAGCTTACAACCATCCATTGTATTTTAGTGCTAAGCTACCTTCTTTTTAAATCTTTACATGTAGTATTACATTCGCTTCTCATTTTTAGTAGGGAAAACTAGTAGCCCAGAAAAATAGCTTCTTTTTCCCATTTCTCTTTGACAGCACATTTGTAAATTTATCTTCAGATTTATATTTACATTCCAATCAGATCTGAAGCAGCACAGTGCTGAAGCAGCACTACTTCTAGGAGATATCAAATCCTGGACAAATCACTTAGTATTCTTGTTTCTGGGTATATCAATCAGAGATAGTCATAACTATGCCTATCTACTGCAAAGAGTACAGGTGAAAAACATGATCTTGTTTATGCAAGCTCGATGAAAAGTACACAACTGCAAAGTATCTTTATTATAACCTGGAGTTAAAATACCCATCTCGTTAAACCAAATTCTCAAAAATAGCTTACATTTTGTGCTTCAGAAATGTGGTAATAGGAATAGTCATTATTAACTGAGGGCTGGCCGGCGAGAGGGAGTTGAGATGAAGGTGAGGCATGGGAAAAACCCATCAAATGACTGTTCTTCTGGAAACTGGTAGCCGCTGGTGGTTGACTGGCTTTTGAAGACTCCTGCAGGTAACCTTCCTGTTCCACCTTCCGACGCATTGTAGAATTCCAGTGGTTCTTGATAGCATTATCAGTTCTGCACAGAAATATACCGTAGAAAGTTTTACAAACAAAAATTGCACTTCGGATTACAGTTAATGGACAGAAAACTGTTTCTAACAGAAATCTGTTGTTTGGGCCCACTAATCGTTGTTTTCCCTTTTAAATTGTTTTGGTCTTTTCCTATCACCAGGAGTTCCCTGATGACTTATTTTAAATCCATAGATTTTTCTTATTCACATGATTTGTAAGGTAGGAATTTCTCTATAAAGTGTGATAGCTTTTCACCATTTTGTTCTCCTGGTAAGGGATATTTTCAATAGAATACCCTCTTCATTGCAAGTTACCCCATGTGATTTGACTTAGGTGGGGAAGGGGGGGAGCAGGGCGGCCTACCCAGTACTACAGAGACTTGACAAAGTTTAGGAATGGAAATGAGATAGGCAGAATGTATACTCTATCGCTCATAGCACCAGTGAGAAAAGTTCAGTGAAAACAACTCATCTCTTGAAAACCACTCCAAATATTCTTATTATCAGCTAGAGATCAGAAAATGGGATTCCAAAAGAAAAGACACGAACCCAGGATATCTTCAAATTACAAAGCAGCTAAAGTTTTCCATTCTTGTGAAAACAGTTTCTTAAAAAAAAAGAAAAAAGTTTTAAGACTCCTTTTCCTAGTTCCATGGGGGTGGGGCAAGATGTGCGAAAGAAAGAGGAAGTTCAATTGCCCTTTCGATTTTTAGAAGAATCAAGAACATATATTCTTGGACTACAGGGGAGAAAAGGCCTCTATTAACCAAACTAGAATTTTTTTGAACCTCTTACTAAGCCACAAGAGAGGAAATGCTCTGAAACATCACAAAGAAATACTACATGATCATTTCTCCACTTTTAGATTAAGAAGCCCAAGAATTTAAGTACCTTCAATAGCTTCTACCTTAAGATTTATAGTGAGTAGTATTTTCCAAAATCAAGAAATGATTTACTATTTAATCAAGTGGGACAAAAATGAGCTTCTATAGTTATCCTTCATAATGAGGTCATTTTCTTGCCTTGTTCATTAAACAGAAAAATGATTGTAGAAATATATTACATTATGGTAGAATGACGTGTGCTGTAGATATTAGGAAATTAGTAGTTGGTCATTGCATTGGCTGCATGAATTCAGAACCAAAAATCAGCCTGACTGCCTGTCTGTCCTCATTTTCCTTGCACATATTTAGAGTTTTTTAATTTACAAAATACTTAGACATTCATTTCCTAGTACTAGCTCAATGAAATAGGTAATTAGTCATCTTACAAATGGAGAAATAAAGGCTGAGGAAAATTAAAAGGTTTGGCCCACAGCTTACCATTGGATAGACAAATGAAGTTCCAAACAGAAAAACAGTAAGATCTCTTCTTGTTCCAAAATCTACTTTCTCTCATGAAGCAGGATGGATGCGATATAATTCATTCACACATTTAAAGCAGAATACTCAATACCCATTCCCTTGTTTTTCCCAACCAATATATGTTTGTGACATAATATTACCGTCCAGGCAGTAGTTTTGCGATTTCCGCCCATCTGTTCCCCAGTCTCTTGTGTGCCTGGTAAATAATTCTGTCTTCCTCTTCTGTCCAGGAGGTTTTCTTAACTTCTGGATTCAAATGGTTATGCCACCTTTCCCTACATTGTTTTCCAATTCTCCCCTTTAAGTGCTTGGCAATAACAGACCACCGTTTTGGACCGTATTTCTGTACAAGCTCTATCACCTTCAGATAAACACAAAAATAATCTGTGTTTTAATGTTACTTCATGAGTCAGTGTAATCATGCTTCACTGTAACAAGATGTTTAGAACTTCTAAAACACCAACTTTCATTAATATCAGAAATATGAGAACAGAGTTCTTTATTTCCCATTTATATACTTTACCTTCTTCCTTAGGCTGGAAAACATAGAACAAAAGATATTGTAGGAATATTCTTAATGATAAATAACATAGCCATAAAAGACAAAACTTACTCTTTGATCTTCTTCTTTGGTCCATGGACCCTTGATGAGCTCAGGGTTTAGAACTTTCTGCCAGCGATGTTGGCACTGCACATCTGTCCGATTCTAAATAAAGTATGCACCCACACAAAGACAGGATGTAATAACCATGTAAAGACACAGGAATCATATGTAGAAATGATACAGCAGTAAGAGAATATTTTTATGGTATGTATGGAGAATATAGCTATTGCTCATTACTTCATAAGCTAAAGAATATATCAAAGTTGCATCTCTGTGTCCCGCAGGGAATAGAGGTTCCACATGAATAAAAGGAATATCAAATCAACCTTAACCTCAGTCTATTGCATGTAGATGTACCAATATGGGTGGCCTACAATCAACTAGAGATCCTATAGTGACAGGCCATGATGGGAATCCACCTACAAATACTCAAGGTTTCTTTCCATCCAAGGTAAGAGATGTGTATCAATTAGGACCACAGGTATTTATTTTACACAAAGAACAAAGATGATAAAAGATAGGCTCTACTTTATAGGAACTGGTAATCCTATAAGAGGGAAAAGACAAATGTATAATTAACTACTACAAAAGGCTGAGTTTGATTCATATGCAAGAGAGATCAAAGTAAAATAGAGTCTGGATGAGAAGGATTCCCTTAGGAGGAATCCAAAATAGTCCTTGATATGGACTTGGTCAGTCCAATGGTCAGGACATCTAACTGGTGAAGCAAAAGGAGAGCAATCTAGGAAATGAAATCAGCAGAAACCAAAGCCCAGAGGAGGGAAAGTAGAAATATCCAAAGCTGCTGTGGAGAGGAAGTAGATAGAAGCCTGGTGGCCCTAAGTAGGAGGGCCTTTGTTTCAGGTCAAGACTGTTTACTTAATTTGTGAGACTCTAAGTCACATGGGTGGTTTATTTTTATTTTTATTGTTTTAGGGCTGAGGATTAAATCCTGGGCCTTTCACGTGCTAGGCAATAGCTGTGCCACTGAGCTACAGTCCCAGGCTTGTTAGTTTGGAAAAGATAACATACAAATTGTACTTTAGGAAGCTCCATCTACCAATAGTGTTTGGGACTGATGGAAGAATGAAAAGCTACAACTGGGGCAGCTAGTTAGGAAGCTGCTCTAACAGCCCAGGTAAGAGGATAGGTGTAACCTGTAGCCTGACATTGGAATGAAAAAGATAAGATAGTCTACAAAGGAATTCCAGGCTTCTTAGTAACCTACATGGATGTAAGGATGGGCTAGTGGGATAAGTGAGAACCCATGTCAAAATTTTAAACCTAGGGAGTAAAGATAGGGTTACCGATGAAAGCAGAGGATGTAGATAGAAGAAGCTCACTAGGAGAAAAAAAAGCAAATTTAATCTTCTACGTTGTAACAGATCAACAAATGCTAAGTTATATTGTCCTAATAAACAAGAAGAAATTGTTGTTGAAATATGGCCAAAATTCTCTTAGTAATTGACTCAGAAGCCCATTTCTGGGTTATAATATAAATATAAGTGGGGTTGGAAGAACTCTCCTCCTGCTTCTTTTTTTTGGGGGGGGGTCCGGTAGTGGGGCCTGAACTCTGGGCCTGGGCGCTGTTCCTCAGCTCTTCAGCTCAAGGCTAGCGCTCTACCACTTGAGCCACAGCACCACTTCCGGCTTTTTTCTTTTTGCTTATGTGGTGCTGAGGAATCGAACCCAGGGCCTCAGGCATGCAAGGCAAGCACTCTACCACTGAGCCACCTTCCCAGCCCCGTCCTCCTGCTTCTTATATAGAGACAAATATGGAATGTCCTACGAAAGTGAAGCTGTGGCTCAAGTGGTAGAATGTCAGCCTTGAGCAAAAAAATCCTCAGGCCCGAGTTCAAGCCCCAGAACTGGCACAAAGGGAAAATAAGACACAAATATGTAATATCCTAGGAATGTCTATGAGAATATTTTAATTAATTCTGTGGGACAATTTCTTATAAGGAAGAAAATTATTAACTTACCGGGAGATAATTGGCAATAACTTTCCAGTCATCTGTTCCATTTTGTTCCACGAGCTTCTTTAGTTTTTCATCCTAGAACATTTAAAGGTAATCCTAGAATATCAGAAATTTACTGAATACCTAATTCTATTCAACTTATATGAACAAGGGAACCAAGCCCATGAGCCAATTCAGGAAAACAACCTCAATAGTATCCAAATACACAGGATATGAATTTAATCCATTGGTTTAAAGAAGAGATTTATTTAGCATCAGATGGTATTGTTAGTTGCATAAAGATAGGGTATATCATTTTACCTTCTAGACTTTAGTATTATCATCTATAAATGAAATTAATATGTATATCATCAGAATTATATGGGAATTACATAAAGTAATTATACAAAACTTCACAAGAATGCTTGGCATATATTGGGTGTCTGATGTATAGTAACTGTATAGTAAGAGTTTTAAGTGAATTTCAATTGTTAGGCTCAGTAGCTATTAAATTAGGGCAAAGATAAGATCTACATTAAGAAAGGATATTTACAGTTTGTTCAACCTTCATAAAAAATAGAAGATAATCATTTTGTACCTAACTTTAAGGCATGTATAATGTAATAAAATAATTTAGTTTTGGTATCAATGTATTCAATGCTTATTTAAGTAAAACTATGGAACATGAAAAACAATGTTCTTCAGCAATTGCTTGTATCATTCCATATTTTTCCCATTATCCTATTTGTTCCACAAATGTCTTTCTAAATGTGTTCCTTTTTCTTCAAAAGATAAATTCATATATGATGCAAGTTGCTGGTACAATACAGATACAGGACTTAGGAAACCAGTGTTGACATAAGAACTTCTTTATCCCCAAAGGCCATCTACTTCATAATCTCTCTAGATGAACCATATTTCTTATGTGCCTCCCTGGGAATTCTATCTGCCTGTCAATAGAGATTCTGGTTTAACCAGAAATGGAAATGAAAGGGAATTTACTTCATTTGAATTAACTTCATTTGTTCTAACATAAAAGTAACTTTCCTTCACACATTAATAATTTTTCTTCTGAAGGATTTTCCATTTCCACAAAAACAAGCTTTTGATAAACTAGCAGAAAAGAAATGATAGGGAGCAGATACAGCTCTAGCCATTACTAGATGCTTTTAGAGCAAACATAGGCTCTGAAATATCTTATGTCAAGAACCTTAAAGGAAGACAATATAACAAGATGAAGTCTATGAGTGTTTTGTTTTAGAAATAGCAATCCCATTCATTCATTTATTCAGTCTTTATGAATGGCCTTCTTTGCAGCAAGTAATTCTGTGTTCAAAGTACACAAAGATGAAGAAACATTTAGCTCTACCTTCAAGAGACTTGTAATCTACTAGGAGAAACATTATGCAATTGCAACAATTAGGCAGAACAGGCATCTAGTGACATGGGAATATAGGCAGATGCATTCAATCTTATTGCAAGAAGCCAGGGATGGTTTTATAGAAGAGTCAATGATTTCACAGGTAATGAAAAAGTAGCAAGAAGTAGTGGGAGCCAGGAATGAGAACTCAACAGACAAAAAGGAATGTAGCATAAAGGGAGAAGAGAGAGATTCAAAGAACTACAAATAGTTTGGCAATGGATGGCAGAATGAGCTTGTCTGGGAGTGGTAAAGCTGAGGGCATGACACAAGATGGCTGGGATAAGCTCTTGATGAGCCCATTCACAAGCACCCGTGGCATTAGCTACCAGGTTGTTTTTCATAAATTGTAGAGGCTATATTTCCCCGTGTTTTGATAGAGTGATTAGTTACCTCTTCCCTGGTCCACCTAGTTTTCCCCAAGTGACGCTTTCCAGACTTAGGAAGCAGCCCATCATAGTCATGATCACACATCTCAAGGTCTTCATCATCTTCATCACTACTGTATATACTGCAGAAAGAAGAATGGGCAGACATGGGCTGAAACAAGAGGATTTAAATTACTGGATTATAAAACCGGCACAAAAACTCCTCAATAAGCTTTTTTAAAATAAGGGAGATAAAACTTCACGAGCTTGCACAATAAGACTGTGTTCTGAATTCTGTTGCTGTAGTATTATAAACTGGTTCTGCTGTTATTGGTATCCACAGATACAGCAAAGGGCCTGGCACTTTCTATTGCTCTGCATGTTTAAACCTGCTGTTACTGTTAGACCAGTGACAAATTACATGTTTGGCAACCATCCAACCAATAAAGGCTTAAGTTTAAAATTTAATGTTAAGGACAAGAAAAGGAACAAGAGTCTACATCCTTTATATAAGTGCATACTCAAAAACTTTGATAAACAAATCAATTATGTTCTAATGGAGGGGGTGTTCAACTAAAATTTAACAACTTCCATAAAGAAAATCTCTAATAATATAATTACAGTCATCCTTTAAAGATTAGAAGAGTAGGAGAATTTAAGAGGAAAAGATTGTTTTAGCCCAAGAAAAGATAAACCCATCAAGTAATCAAACTCTTTTGCAACTAACATAAATATCAAATTATTTGTATCTCTGAGTCTGTATGACCTAACTTGTGGCTATGTTTACAAAACTTGGTTTCCAGAGTAACAAGTGAATAATTAGGCAGAATTCTACTAACTCTTGTTCTACTATCTCTGACTAAATGGTGTTTAAAATATCCTAAAATATATCTCATTTTAAAAAACCAAGGGATTTCCCCCCTAAGGAAATCTATGGTTTTTTTCTAAGCATTATTATCTTCAAGTGTTTTTTTTCTTTTGCTACTTGAGTAAAACTATGAATTTTGATGATATCTGAAGTAATTACATGCTTAATGTTTATTAATCATTTATTGAATAAATGGAGGTAATTTTACTTCTAGTTGTAATTTTCCTTTTAGAACTTAAGAGATGAAAAATTATATCCTTAAAATACTGAATTTTTTCCTTGTCATATTGGGAATTACATTAAGCTCAGACAAATAAAAATGATTACAAAGCACTATCATAATACAAATAGTTGGTAAAGAGAAAATCTATATTTAGAATGGGTTTTTTCTTCCCAAATAGCTCACAAGTATATGTTACCAACCTCCCTACAAAGCAAGCAAAAGTGTTTAAAATCATGAATTGGGACTCTTGTAATTTAAAACTATTATTCTGGACAACAACTGATGGTTCAGGCTGCAAGGTGACTGGATGTGTTCTAACTTCAAAATACTTCCATTATCTAGGTGCTGGTGGCTCAAGCTTGTAATCCCAACTAGTAATTCTCAAAAGGCTGAGATCTGAAGATCTTGGTTCAAAGTCAGCCCAGGCAGGAAAGTCTCATCTCCAACTAACCACCAGAAAACCAAAAGTAGAGCTGTGGCCCAAAGTGATAGAGTACTAGCCTTGAGCACAAAAGGTCGGGACCACATACAGTCCCTGAGTTCAAACCCCACAACTGACAAAAAAAATACTACCACAATTACAAAAAAAAATCCACTAAATTGTATTCATACACTGTAGTCATTTTCCCATATATTTGGGGAGGGGTAGTTATTATAAGTCTAGGGCTGTCAGTGGCTTTTTGAAGGCAGTGGCTTTTTGAAGGCACATACTGAAGAGCTCTTTGGAAAACCCTCAAATGAGGTAGACCTTTGAATGGAGCCATATATTTAACTCAAATTAAGCCTTTGGATTTGTCTAGATCTGGGAGATCACCCTTTCAGAACTGTGGAGGACATTCTCCAAGCTAGTCGTTGGGCCCCTCCGGGTAAACAGAAGAATCTGTTCTAGGAATAAGCACCAGATTCAGTCGTCCACAGGGGGCAGCCAAGGTAAGGTAAACGTACAGGGATCAACCAGGACGAGGGCTCTGGTGCAAATCGCTTTGTTGCTTTCTTTCCTGGCTTCCCTCCCTCCCCCTCTTCCCTCTCGGGCTCTTTCCCTCGCTACCCTCTTCCCCCACCAACTCCCCAGTCCCTCCCCTCCACCGAGGGATTAGATTCTATTTCTAAGGTACTTTCCAGCGCGCGTACATGATGCCCCAGTATCTTCCGTTCCTCTTTTAAAACCAAGCCCGGAGGCGGAGACGTGCAAAGCCAAGATCTGTGTGTGTCGGGGGGGCGGGGGACGTGGCCTGTGACTGACTCCTGCAGGTGCTGAAGGCGCCCCGGAGGACAGCCAGCCAGCCCTGGGCTGCTCTCAGCCGAGTTGGCTGGGCAGGGGGCTCCTCTTTGAGCTTTGCATGCGACTTCCTTGCTCTCTAAAGTGACCCGATCACCTCAGTAGCATGATTAATTTCTACTAAGGACCTGAAATAACTTTTCCTTTATCTGCTCTGACAAGATCTCAGACCTAACAGTCAACAGACTTTCAAAGGCTGCGTTCAGGCTTGATGCACACGACTCCTCCACCTGCTAGACCCGGTGTGGTTACCAGGGTACAAGTATGAATGTTGCATTCTGTCAAGGAACCAAACCGTGCAAAGAAACGAAAAAAGAAAAGGGGCGCTGGTGTGGGGAGCGGGGTGTGGGGAGGGGTGTTGGGAAAAGGGAGGGGAGCGGGAGAGGAAGTGCCTTGCGGCCGCTACTGTGATTCTAGAAAAGGGGTTCCTAAGCATTTCGCTGACCTGGTTAATAATCCCTTGCCTAGCTGACGCTTGCCTTGCAAGAAATGGCTCGGATCCCGCCGCAGCCGGGTTTCTCTTCTCCCACCCTCACGCCCCCCCACCCCGCCCAACACACACCCAGGCCAGGTTCAAGGCTCCCGCCCCTCCCCGCAGCCTCCCCTCCCCGCTACCTGAGAGCGGCGGGGAACCTGAGCGGCCCCGCCCCGCAGGGGCAACAGATCTTGGGGCGCAGAGCCTCGGCCGCACCGCCTCCCAGCACCCCCCCCCATTCTCCTCTCACCCTCCGCCAGCCCCCGCCTTCCCAGCTGCAGGTTTGGCTCTCAACCGAACAGGTGACCCCGGCGCTCCCAAAGGGGAAAGGTGAAACCTCTCGAAACGCCGCGCCCCAGCCCTGCGCGCGGAGGGCCCTGGGCGAGGCCTTAGGGAGCCAAAGTCCCCCCCACTGCGCCTAAGTTGCCCCCCTCTTTTTCCCTGACACCCAGCCAAGCCGAGGTGCCGCTCCCCGCGCAGGCCGGCTGGGGTGCGCAGGCAGGGCCCGCGCCCAGGCTCTTTGCAACTTCCCGGTGACGCTCGGGGACTGGTGCCTGCCGGCTTAAAAGAGAAAAAAAAAGAAAAGAAAAGCAATTAAGTTAGGCGCAAATTAAACACGCGATGGGAAGCCGGAAGGTATGCTTTGCCTGCAGGACTTTTATTCCTACCCCCCCCCGACCCCCCGCACGGATGGATTCTCGGAGGTCCTTCCAGTGGCCCCGCCTGGGGCCGGTGACCAAAAGGAGCGAGAGCCAGGGCCAGCTCCGGGCGTCCACGTGTGCGCACGGCGCACGGCGCCCGCCGGGTCTTTCGCTCCCCACCCCCACCCGGGGGCAGTCTGTGGTCATTGCCCCCCGGGTGCGCTGCAGCGACCTTGGGGACTGTGGAGCTCTAGTCCTTTGCCACGGCGGGCACTGCCACCGTGCCAGCCTCCCCTCCCCTCCCCTCCGCACCGGTCGCTCAGGGAGCCCCGGCGTGTCCAGTCCCGGAAATCCTGAGGCCGATAGAAGCTGCACGGCCAGCGAATGACAGTTCGGACGAGTCTGTCTGTCTCTCTCTTTCTCTCGTTCTGTCCCCTCAACCCATCCGTGAGGCCAACGTGCAAGAGGGACTGTCTCCCACCGTCGCGGCCGGCCTTGCAAGTGCGGTGACATGTGCAACGCGGGGGGAGGAGGCGCGCGCGTGCCCTCGACATTTGCAATAGACCTAAATTAAAGCCTTTCACACGATCAGGACTCGAATCTTCCAAACCAGGGCTGCGAACAACTTGCAGACCTGTTCCATCCCTCCCTAAAATCGTCTCCGCAGCCGCCTGTCAGCTGACACTCCTCCTGCCATCCATAAAGAATGAATGAAATTTAAATGAACTACCTGCAGCTACGAAACAAACCTAGCCTTTTGCCTCTATCTGCCATATGCTCTGCAATCTCAAGTCCAAACACATCTCAATGCATCTAGCAATTAGGCTGCGACTCCCTCGCTGGCACCCGGGGCATCAAGCCAGGCACCTGGTGAGTTCCCCCGGGCTACGGGCATCGCCGCTCTGTCCCGCGCCGGAACGTGTTCCTCCCCTTACCCCCCAAGCCTTAAACAGAAATGTATCCCCCCCACCCCGCCCCGCTCTGCCAGGTCCGGACCGTCCCGCACACTTTCCCATTCATCCGTCTCCCCAGCGCCCCAGGCAGAGGCTGACAGCCCCGCAGAAGGTCTGGGAATGAATTCCCACCTGCTCCCAGGCCCTGAGCGCCCCGCGCGCGCCCCCTCCCTAGACCGCCCGCCCCGGCTCCCCGTTACCTGTGCCGGGGTCTCCTGGCCATGGCGCGGCGGGCGCGAAGCTCCGCCGAGAGCGGTGGGGTAAACCGGCCGCCGCCACCCGCTGCCCACCGCCTCGCGGGCGACTCTTCCCGGCTGCGCAGCGGGCGCTCGGCACCGCCGGGGCGAAGTTTCTCAGGAGAAAGAGGAGGAGGAGGAGGAGGAGGTCCCGGAGGAGGAGGAGAAGGAGGAGGAGGAGGAAACAGGTTGATATTAAAGTGTAAACTCTGTAAACAGAGATGCCATCAAACAAAGAGCTTTGGACACTCCCCCTCCCGCCAAATCTGGCGCCCCTGCAGTGCGCACGCGCTCTGCCCGCCGCCTCCGCGGTCGCCCTGGCTGCAGCCCGCGGGGCGGCCCGGCCGGCGCGGCCGCGGCTCCCATTCGTCTCCCGCGCCTCGGCGTTGAGTCTGGCGCGCCGCGAGGCCCGGACGGCGCGCGGGCGGAGAGCCCGGACCTGGGAGGGGGTGGCCGAGGGGGGCCCGCAGTGGCGGCGCCTTTTCCTGCGCAAACCCCGCTCCCGGGTCGTGATGGCGCCGGTCCGCGCCAAGTCTCCCCGCTGCCGCCACCTCTGCGCCCAGGCAGCGGCAGCCCCATCGCCCCACGCTGCCCGTCCGCGGGCGCCCGCACCCCAGCTTGCCGCGCTTTGACTCACTGTGACGGGCGGGGGGCGGGGGGGGCGTCCGCATTGCGGGCTGGATTTTAGGTAGGATTTTAAACAGCCCCCTGGGGATAGGGAGATTGGGGCGCCCGGGCGGGAGGGTGATGGCATCGAGGACGGGGGGCATACTGTTTTCCAAGGATGCTTGGATAGCACGGTGCTCACTTTCTTTTAAAAGAACATCTTTAAAGTACTTGTAAGTGACCGAGGACACCTGCGGCTGTACGGTCCCCCGCCAAGTTCTCACTCCCCTTCCAGCTCAGCAACCCACCCGCCACCTTCGAATGGGTCACCCCGGCACACACCCAGCCCCATCCACCCTGCCCCGCCCAGGCGGTGCCGCCCTCGCACCCCTTCCTCCTCCGGGCTCAGTGAGAGTACCCTGGAACACACCTGCTAAAGGGGGGAGAGACAGACAGACAGACAGACGGGGGAGGAGAAAGAAAGAAAGAAAGAAAGAAAGAAAGAAAGAAAGAAAGAAAGAAAGAAAGAAAGAAAGAAAGAAAGAAAGAAAGAAAGAAAGAAAGAAAGAGAAAGAATTCACAGGGTTCCAAACACCCACCCCTATGGCAGAGCTCAGGAAATCCCAGACTTGCTTGCATGCACAGTTTCAAAAGTTAAAACACTTTGACCGGTTAACTATGATTATTAGTGTCATTTGAAGGCAATGTTCTTACCAGCTTACAAGTTAGCAAAAAAGAAAAGAAAAGAAAAGAAAGAAAGAAAAAGGGGAAAAAAAGCAAATCTTGTTCATTTAACTAGGGACTCCTGAACAAGTAAGAGAGAAGGGCTGAATTTATAAGGATTGGTGATTGGGGGATTTTAGGGGAGTTTTGGTTTTACTTCCGTTTGCAGAGCTGTACTATTGGGGATTTTTTTCATTCTCTATACACACCAATTTATTTTTCCTTTAATCTTTTAGGAGTTTAAGACGTTTGCTGACTGGGTTTGTGGGTGTCCCAAGCACCCCCCCCCCCAGCAGTTCAAACTTAGCTCAGAAAGCATTTTCTCACTAAAAAAAGCATGTTCTTACTAAAATGAGTCATAATTTTATTAAATGGTGAAGCATGCTAGGTTTCAAGACTTTATCTGCTGTTTGAAACTTTGTTTCTTAAAAATTGTTACTTTGTTTTAATTTTTATCAAAACAAGTTGGTTACTCCTAGGATTTTGACATTCCTTTCTTCATGAGAAAAAAAAGATTGTGAGATATTTCTGTTCACAATGCTGTAAGAGTGGTCATTTGTAAGATCATATATTTTTAAAGCCAATGCTTATTTCTAGGTTGTATAATAAAGTTTCTTTACATGAAAAGGAAACCAGAATTTGAAATTTTATCTATAAGCACCTAGGAATTATCCCTAAAAAAATTGTATCTGACTTGGTATAGCTAATAGGCACAACTCCTAATTACTGAGCTTCTTGGATCTTCCTAAAGTGAGTCCAGAGTCTCTCTCTTAAAATAAGTATAAATAAAGCACATGAAACTTAAACTCTTGTTAATTCTTAAACTCTTAAGTAGAAAGATAGCAAGTCAAAATTCCCTCTGTGCATAATTTCCCATGTAAGTTGTTTTGAGAATTCATATTATTATTTGTCAGACATTTTGTAGTACAGCTTTACATTTTTCTTCATACATGTGAAAATAAATAGTGGGGACATATATAATCCATAAGAACTACACATACCATCAGTTTATTAGGCTAATTTGGGTTATGCTGTCATCTGATAAAATATGGAAGGAAAAACGATCAAAGGGAGTGATAAAAATTCTTGTATGGATGAGAACATATTTTCAAAGATATTACAAAATGCTCATTGTAATTATACATTTTCTTCCTCTACTTACAGTTATTGACAATGAATTTTTAGATGACAATTTTATATATTTCATTACTCTCTCTTTTTTGCTTTTATATTTTTTATTGTCAAGGCGAAGTACAGAGGGGTTACATAAGTAAGCTAATACGTACATTTCTTGTCCAACTTGTTACCCCTTCCCTCATTTTCCTCCTACTTTCCTTCCCCCCTCAAGCCCCTCCCCCCAAGCTGTACAGATCATTTCCAGCATATTGCCTGTGTATATCACTATTGCATTGGTTCTCTCTCTCTTTTTGAAGATCTGCTACATTCATTTAGTGGTGGCAGAGCTGGGATAGGACTAAATTCAGATGTGGCATTTTATTTGTGATGCACTAGACAGGAGGCCAGAAAGCTTTCTGAGAAGGGCTAAATCAGTGTTTTAGGCTGTCCTGAATATTCTTCATGTTTCTTTTCTTGTCTGTTCTCCTCCATTTTCACAAGGCTTGGGCTGGCTTGGAATCTCAATTCTCCCAGTCTCTACTTCCTGAATAGCTATGATTACAGGTGTGACACACTGTGCCCAGCTGTAAATATCTTTTTGTGTGTGTATGCAGAACTGGGTGTTGAACTCAGGAATCACACTTGCTCAGCTTGCTTACTTAGCTGAGTGCACCTGAATCATGCCACTGCCCCCTCCTCTTTTTTTTGTTGGTTGGCCATGGGGCTTGAACTCTGGGCCTGGGCACTGTCCCTCAGTGTTTCAGCTCAAGGCAAACACTCTACCATTTGAGCCACAGCGCCACTTCTGGTTTTCTGGCGGTTTATTGGAGATAAGAGTCTCATAGACTTTCCTGCCCTTGGTGGCTTTGAACCATGATCCTCAGATCTCAGCCTCCTGAGTAGCTAGGATTATAGATGTGAGCCACCAGCACCCTGCTACGGCCCTCCTTTTGAAATCATTTTTAACTCAAAAGCAGTAGTAGTCTTCAGGATGTAGTTGGCCAGCATTATGATCCTCGATCTTTTTTCTTTGTGTGTGTGTATGTGTGTGTGTGTGTGTGTCAGGGGTGTGGGTACTGGGCTTGAACTCAAGGCCTAGATGCTGTCATTTTTATGCTCCTGGCTGACATTCAACCACTTGAATCACAGCTCAAGTGTTTAATTAGACATAAGAGCCTCACAGACTTTCTTGCCTGGGTTGACTTCAAACTGTGATCCTCAGATCTCAGCCTTCTAAATAGCTGAATTACACATGTAAGCCATCAGCCCCTGCTGGATCTCTAGTGTGCATCAGTGTCACTGGCTATAGCAGGGAACAAAGCATAGTCCAAGTGGATCTCTAGTGACCGTGATGCAGTAGGTCTACAGTGGAGCCCAAGAATCTGTATCTTAACATATAATCAATTGGCCTTCATGGAAGAAGACTCTAGACCACTTGATTATCTAAGCTGTTTGAATATCTTTTATCATTGCCAGCTTTCTTCCATGGCCTTTCTCTCCCTCTTTCTCTTTTACCTCTCATGGACTAAGGATTTGGGTTCTGTAAAACTCAAAATTATTCAACTCCATGGGAAGGTGGTCTAGGGACCAGAAGAATGTGCCAGTCTCTTCTTCCTTTACTGTTAACCTTCAGCCTTAGATCTGAAACTTGAAGCACAAAAATAACTAGCTGATTATGATGACACCATTCCCCCTCCCCAAAGCAAGCATTTCTTATACTCGAAACATTGGGGAAGGTGTATAAAATATATGAATTCTAGCGTCTTAGTTTCTGAGGGTTGAGAAATCCACATCCTAAAGATGACTATTGTCAATGGTAGTCAGCCAAACATTTAGGGGCCCCGTGTCTCTATACCTACCTTTTCTGCCTCTCTACCCCAGTTTGGCTCAGAGCATTAAGAGGGGAATAATTACAGTAAATACCAAATGGCTAAAGTACAGACAATTCTTGGTCATTTTAGCTAATGAAGAACAGCTGTACCATCTACAATTGAAATTCATAGGCTTGGAATTAAGCTCCTTGTTAACTCCCTATAAACCTTTCCAACATGGCAATACAGAAGTCTTGTCTTTGTGTGGTATATTTCATAGAACTGCCATAAGAAATAGAGAGCAAATATGTGTTTAAGTAATTCCTGAATGTGGAACATTTTGTTTATTTCTGCTCTGCAGATTCTTACTAACTTACATATTTCTGTGACCTGAAAACTAGCTTGCATCTTTTCATTGGAACTGAGTTTTAAATTAAAAGTATGAATCATTCCAGGAAGAGATTGGAAGAACATTCTAGGGAAAAGAGAATATGTTAGGAAAAGTACACAATTGGGAATCACAGAGCATGCTTCAAGCATAGGGAAGATGGACAAAACGTGCATCCAAAAGCAGGTTCTGGTGTATCATGCCTGTAATTCTAGCTACTCAGGATGTGGGATCTGAGGATCTTAATCTGAAGCCAGCCCCAGCAAGAAAGTTCCATCCGACTCTTACCTCCAATTAGCCACCAAGAAGCTAAAGTGGAGTTATGGCCCAAGTGGTAGAGTGCCAGCCTTGAGCAAAAAAGCTAAGGGACAACACTTAGGCCTTGAGTTCAAGCCCCAGTACTGGTAGAAATAAACAACAACAAAAGAAAAAAGTAAAAAAGCAAGAAAGGAAGAAAGAAAGAAAGAAAGAAAGAAAGAAAGAAAGAAAGAAAGCATCCAAGGCTAGATTG